AAAAAAAAAAAAAAAAAAAAAGAATAAATTTATCATTTTTAAAAAGAAAGAACAAAAGACACTCCTCTGCAATCTGTAATAAACTTTGTAATCCTGTAATAAATTCATATTCTTTCATTTTCAGCTGCAGGAACCAATAATTATCTGGGAACCCGGTGCAATTAATTGCTGTTTAAATGCTGTTTAAATGAAAACAGAAAAACAAAATTCACATATTTTTATCAATGATCGATTAAGGCTGATCCATAGATTATTTATTATCTATTCGATTTGATTTGTTGTTCTAGTCTCTGGAAAATAATCCGTGATTAAACCAAATTTGTTAAAAAATATTTAAATTAGAATATTTATATTTTATATAAGGATATATTATGTATATTATATATATATACATATATTTGCTTGTATAATAAAATGTAGCATCATTCCATATGGCTAACTGTTGCATGTTCATGTTCAGTATGCCTATTTCGTTAAGTTGAAATTCGATTATTTCGCTAGTGAATACATAAGACAAAGCTATATAAAAAAAAATTTATTATATTGAAAATATTCGACAATATAATACGTTTTACTGTAATATAATAATAACTATATTACAAATCTTATCATGTAAAATACAATCTTGTAAAATAATAATAATATTAATATCATTCATAAAATATTTAATAAGGTCTCCTCCTACATATGTATTTTGACTTAAATTTTTAAAGATTATTGAAAAAAAAACATTTCATATTAAATTATTATCATCAAATTATTACATTTTCAATAAATAATTTATATTTTATTCATAAATAAATAGTAAAAATTATAAGAAAATTTATTATTGATTGAAAAAGGGAATTATTCTAATCAAATGATTATTAAAATATTAAAAAAACAACGAATCTTTATAATAAAAGATTTCTTCTAACATCTTTCAATATTTTTGTCAGTCTGATCAAGATATCAGATCTATGTTAAATGTGAACCACAGTATTAGATCCAAAAATTAAATAATTTAGATTTCTTTTTATTTCTTTTCTTCATTTTATTTAACAATAAAAAAAGAAATATAGTAAAGCTTAATCTTCACGCATATAGTTTGAACATCTTCAGAATTTAACATTTTATATAAACGGAAACTTGGTACGTCATTTCACGAAGCTGCTTCTCATTTGATTCCTGTGCTTCTTATGCATTTTACATCGCAACCGTTACGTGACTGCAACTACAAACGCAAAGGTATAAATATTTACGGGCAAGAAAGATAAGATGCGTGCTTTTTTTTCATAATCCATACATTTTTTTTTAACTATTTCAATTAATTCAATTCATTTCGAAAAGTTTAATCATCGATTACGTAGAAAAAAACACAAATTGACTTTCATTACCGAAAAAAATATTTCAACCAATTTAATTGTACTATTATAATAAATTCTTATTCAAATAATTATTTAAATAAAATATTTAGTTTATTTATTTTAATATTGATAATTTATCTTTTTCATATCGAAATGATATAATTCTGATTCTGAACTACAGTTTCAACATAAGCTTCCTCATCGACATAGTGGAAAATTTACAGCTTATATAATTTATAGTGAAAAATTCTTGTTCTAATTAAAAAGAATTAAATTTTATTCGTATAATATAATCGATAATAAAATATATCAT